CCTCTGGCTGCATCTGCCAGGCTGCAGGAAGAGCCTCCTGCCTCAGGGATGCACCTCACACCGATGGGTCTGAGAGAGATGTGCTGGGGACAGGCTGGTGGACATCAGGATCATCTTACCTTCTGCTCTGCAAGCCAGGCTAGAAACTGGCTGATCTTCCTCTGTGGTAGCATTTCTTGTCTTCTAAATTAGGCTGATGTGAACTTCTTCTCAGTGGGGAGGGAAAGACTTGTTTCGTTCACCAAGAACCTGTTTGGGAATTGGACACTCTGTGCTAGTGGCTGGGTCTGCACAAGTTCAGCAAGGTGAAGTCCTCAAACAGTCTCCTTTTCAGTGTTGTCATCTGTGAAGGAGTGGTGCGAGGCTGACTGACTTCAGCTCATCATGAAATGTCTTCTGTCAGAGCCAGGAGTGTTGCAAAAAGATGAGGTTGTTCCGAGGAAGGACAGGAGAGTCTTTATCCCATTGTGCCATTTTCTCTCCAGAGTTGTGAATGTGGTACATGTCCTGAATGTGTCCTGGTGACACCAAGGTGTGGAAGAGCAGCTGGGGATGCACACCCTTCAGAAAGCCTGTGGAGCTCTGAGATTCAGAGAAGACAGCCCAGATCTGAGCTCTGGCGACTGAAATCTCCTGTGTCTGTGGGCAGCAGCAAGGCACGGTTGGGAGCTCGTGCTCCCAAAACATCACTGGGGCTCTAGTTTTAAACTGAAAGAGTTTCATCAGAGATGTGAGAGGACTGAAAATGGCAGCATTATTTGTGATGTGGAAGGGCAAACACTCAAATGTCAAATCTGAAATCCATGTGGGTTGGTACCAGTATCCACCTTGGCTCTCCAGGCTCTCAGCTGTGAGAGGTCTTTCCCCACAAGAATGCTGGGCATCCCATGGCTGATGTGTTGCTGTGCTGTAGGTTTATCTCAGCCTAGTCAAGAATGCATGGTTCAGAGTGGCTCCTTTTCACCACGTAACGCCCCATGTAGGGTAGGAGACTCCAGCAATGAATCCCTTCCCAGCCAGGTGCTTTAAGGCTCTGCCTTGACGCAAGGCAGAGAAATTGCCACAGCTGCTGCTCCTGGCAGCCTTGCCAAGGCAACAGAGCAAAGCAATTTAGCACTGCTCCAGTCATCCGTGATGGCAGAGATCATCGCGTCGACCTCTTCTTCGGCTTTGTGATTAATGCTGAAAAAGCAGCCTCTGAGGGCTGAAAGGCGAGCGCTGGTCCCTGGAGAGCCGTGCTGCACAGTGGAGGCAGCACCTCCAGCTGTGGTCCTGGCCTCCTGTAGGCTCCTCTGCACCTTGGGGCTGTGTGCTCCTGCAGCAATGAAGGTAATGGGAATGGGAGCAGGAATCCAAAGCTCGTTTGTCGAGTGAGAAGAAGTTTTGTGGCTTTATGCAGATTCCTTGTCATATAATGAAAACCTGGTGTTTGAGCTTTCCAGTGGTTACACCCAAAGTCCTCTTTGGAAAGCTGCTATGTGGAAGTGATGGGGAGAAGGACAGGTAGGAAGGGTTGTGGTTCGGACAGCTGAGCTGGAGAGGAATGTGAAGCACAAAGCAGAGCACCAGCAAGCTGTGGAGAAATGGCTCCCATCACTGGGACAAGGCAGAATGGGTTGGCAGTGAGTGTTAGGGAGCTGGGGAAGAAAACTTATTTCAAATGCAACGCTTGCTTTGTTTCTGAAACTCTCTGCTCCAGGACTAGTTGCTACCAATACCCATGATGCTGGGAGGACCCCATTGCTGTGAATTATGTGCTCTGTCTGCTGTTCCTTCTGCTGGTGAAGGTCCTATGGTGGGGAGCATGAGATATGTCCCTGACAGCACAGGGATGCACACACCAGCTCTCTCTTGGTCTCTTCTCTGCAGGTGGAGTTACTGCTGACCACGCTGCAGGGGTTTTCCTGCAGGTGCTGTGTGAGCAGGGGAGAAGAGGTCCTGAGCATGTCTGTGTGGCAAGGCTGGAGGAAGGCAGAATTGAAATTTGCATGTCCACCCTGCAGAAGAGCATCCGTGGCTCCATGCTGCTCCCAGCAGCTCCCAGCAGCTCCCAGCCCCCCTGGGAAGCTGTTTCCTGCATCTCAAGGGCTGTGAACCCCAGCCCGCTTGGGATCGGTCCCACGGCTCAGCCACACCAACACCAGCCTCTTCCCAGCTCCTCAGCCCCCAGAGGCGCCAGGAGGGCGAGGTGTAAATTGCATGACAGGCTGCCTCTGCAGAGGTGAAAATGAAAAACTCTCCCTTTGCTCGAGCCGGGCGTTTCGCAGCTCCCACAGCCCACGTTTTTCTTGGTCACAGTATCATCTTCTGTTTGTGCAATGCCTTGCAGCTCAAAGAGCTTTGAAGGGAAGAAGCAAGCAGAGCTGTCCCAGTATTGTGGGCAGGTGGCTGTGTCCCATTGAGGAGCTATGTCCCAGAACTGTGTAGCTGAGGCTGGTGGAGACTTCTGGGGTCACTTGGTGTCACCTCTGCTCCACGGGGCCACCCAGAGCAGCTGGCCCTGCCCCCTGTCCACATCTCCACGTTATGCCCACCATCTCTCAGCCTGTCTGTGGGTACCACTGGTGGAGCCTTGTCCTCTCTGCCCCTCCTCGCAGGTCTATGTGGACACTGACAGAGACCAGTTTTGTCCCACTGAGGAGTGCTGACCTGCAGTGCCAGGAGCAGTGCAGGCCTGGTGGCAGAGTGCTCCTGGTGTGAGCTAAGGCGGGATGACACACTGAGCGTGGGGCGTGCAAGGAGAGGAGGAGGATGTGGCACACAGCACTGTCCCTGCAGGGCTGGCTGGTGGCTCACTTTCAGCTTGCTGAGCTCCAGCTCTAATTTTAGTGCCTGATTTTCAGTTCCACGCAATTGGGGCTCTCTGTGTCTGGGTTTGTATTGTATGTACCCCCAAGGTGGGACAGTGGGTTGGCTCTGTGTGAAGCAGAAGATTGGTGTATCTGGAATGGATGTGTGTGTCAACATCAAACCCGTGGACTCTGGAAGCATTGGTCTGTGCGGTATGTGTGGCTTGTATGGATCATATGCAGTAATCACAGATTACTTGGGTTGGAAGGGACCTCACAGCCCTCACCCCTGCCGTGGGCTGCCTGCCCCCCAGCTCAGGCTGCCCAGGGCCCCTCAATGGCCGGGGGCACCTCCAGGGATGGGAGGAGCTATGAGCAGCTATGTCAGCACCTCACCATCCTCCGAGCAAAGAACTTCTTCTTAAATCTGATGCATTCCTCCCCCAAAGGTGACACGTCAGATCCCCAAGAAGGGCAGAAAGGAGCTGTGAGTAGTGCAGGAAGGGTGAGCTCGCCGTCGGTGCCACACGACCTTGGGAAGAGGCGAGTCCCCGCTCTGCCCCACTTACTGTGCTCCTGCTGCCCTGCCAGAAGCCTGCCTGCTGCCTCCCGCTGGTGGCACCTTGCTGAGCTCCTCCACCCATGCGAGCCTGCATTTCATCTGCCTTGAGGGCTCTGTGTCCACCTTGCTGCTCCATCTGTTGGCCTCACACCAGCCGGGGGGCTTCCTTCTCAGCCGCAAAGCCCTCTATTGCCTGTTGAGCTCTTCTGTTGTTTTGCCACGTTGTTGAGTTTTCACCAGTTCACTTCCCACTCGTGCCTTTGCCTTTGGACTCAGGGTGTTCCCTGTTTTTTTTGGGACCCTTGTTTTCAGGATGGCCACACAGCCTGGTTGGCTGGTTGTTCTGGGCTGCAGCAGCAGCAGCAGGGGCTGGCACCACTGTTCTGGATTGCAACTTGATTTGCAAAAGCATAAATTAGGCAGCTGGGAAAGGGGTAAGCTCATCCTGCCTGTTTATAGTGGTGGGGGCAGAGTGCTGCCAGTGTCCCCTGCCCCAGACCCCTGGAACTCAGCCCTTGGAGCTGGCTGGGCATCCCAGTGTCCATCCCATGTGCCAGCTCTGCCATCCCTCTGAGGCACAGCACCGGTGTTCCCAGTGTCTGTTTGACTGCCACCCAGCATGGGCAGAGATTTCCCTCCAGCTGCTTTGGGAGAAATTGGGTGAATTGGGAAGAAATCAAGTATTGGGCATCCTTGGTGTCCTGAGGCCTGCCCTCAGCCCTGAGGCTTTAGGCTGCTCGGAAAATGGACTCAGTAGGGTTCTCTTTGCTCTGAGATCCTTTGTGTCGTCCCCGTCTGTGTTAAGTGGTGGGGGGGCAGCTGGATGCATCCAAGAAACCTGTGAATCTTGGAAATATCCGTCTCGGGTATGTGTTGGAGTTACTGGAAATAGCAAAACGAGCTGAAGTTGGGCTTGTGGTTGGTGGAACAAGGGGCAGAGTGGTGGGGAGGATGCTTGCCTGGCTTGTTGCTTAAAAAGCAAGAGTGAGATGAGCCGCCCCTGCTCTGTTGCTAAAAACAGCCCAGCTTGCTTTTATTTAACACAGTGCTGATCTGCGTGTGTTTGCATTTCACCTGCCTGCAAGTGGGAGCTCCGGGCTGTGAGCGCTGGGATGCCGGCCCGTGCTGCTGGTGCTGGAGCTCCTGAAATAAGAAAAGGTCTTCAGGGACCTGAGAAGGGGAAAAATAGAAAAAGAGCAAGCACGGCAGGGGGTTTGGGTTACTCACCCAGCAGGAAGCAGCCTGTGCTGTGCAGGGGCAGGCGTGGGGAGGAATGAGGGAAGAGGCGGAGGGGAGGCGGTCTGAAATGCCATGGCTTCATCTCCAACCCCCTGCCCTTGTGCTTCTGAAAGGAGCTGCTGGAGCTGTTGCTTCTGGATTATATTAATTAGCAGAGAAGCACTACGCCTGCCGTGGGTCCTTGCTGAGAGGCAGGCGTGGGGACGTGGCGGTCAGCTGCAGGTGCCCCCAAAATCCCCAAAATGGTCCCCCTCTGGGGACTGCACCCCACCATGGTGGGGGGCTGCCAATAGGAGCACCTCAGGGGGGACAGTGGGCGCTGGGACTCCTGCCCAAGGTGCCAGATGGGTCCTAATCAGTTGGGGTGAGGCGGAGTGCGCAGAGGTTGACAGTGTGATGCTCTCTTCCAGGAGAGGAAGCTGTGTGCCCACCCCAGGATTGAGATCTACAAGGAGGACCGCATCTATTTTGTGTGCCCCCTCGCCCGCCAAGGGGACTTCTATGTTCCCGAGATGAAGGAGCTGGAGAGGAAGAGCAGGGCAGCAGCCGAGGTCGAAGACACCCAGACTGATATCACAGGTAGCACATCTGGCACTTGGGCTCCTCTGTTCTTCCGTGTGTCACCAGCCCTCCCCAGGTGGCGGCCCGGTGTCCTGGCTGTTCTGAGCAGGAGGGCCTGCGCTGTGTTCGGATTCCTGCCCAGGGCTCAGTTCACCTCATGCCATCACTGTGAGCAGTGTGGCACAGCTTGACCCCGTGCCATGCCCTGGGCAGCAGACGGTCCTGTTGATGGCAGAGGATAAAGCCACCCTTGGTGCAACTGCAGCACCGCCGGCCCGTGGCTGTGAAAGCAGAGCTGGGTGCCGACGCGTTTGCTTGCAGCTGGGCTTGTTTTTCTCCTTGTCACATACATCTTTCTTGATCTCATCTTCATCTGTTACATGTTGGGATTGTGAAGAACTTAAATACCAGGTTTCTGTAGCTGGTGGTGGAGTTGCCCGAGAGCATCTGCTCGCAGAGATCTGTTGGAGCCTGGGTGTATTTATACAGGAAGGGACCACAATCGCTGTAGGCGCGGAACAGCAGTGCTATAGTAACCCAAAATGCTGGCTGCCGTGCTGGCCCACGTGCTCACATGGCTGTAGGACGCAGCGTGATGGAGGCTGTGGGCTGTGGGCTGCAGGCAGGGCTCCGGCCATGGCCCCACCAGGCCCCCATGTGTGCCTAACGGGCATGAAAGAAACATGAGCGCGTGAGCACGCCTCGCCGCCTCGCCCCTGGTCTGGTAATCTTTTTACACATCTTTGGTTTTGGATCGTTTTAATTCTTAATTGCGTTGGTCGTAAAAGCAAGCCTGGGAATTGCTTTCTGAGAGCCCTGTCCATTTAGCATTGGAATGAAGAGCCTAATTGGAGTGGCTTCCCAGCGCTTTTGCAGTCGCGGCGTTTTCAGGGCGCTCTCTCTGCCACGGCCCCAAATGTGTCCCCAGCACCTGCCTGTGCCAGTGCCAGCCTGGTAGCACGGCGGGGTCACACTGCACGTGTGATGATACGTGCCATGACACAGCACACGGACAGGCTTCGGGATGTTGGCCTGGAGGGACTCTGCTCACTGATAGGAGACACTGGGGAAATCCCAAGGGTTTGGGGCTCATCCTGCAAGGTGCTGGGTGCCTCTGCTTTGAGCGAGGCAGCTGCTGGCTGTGCTGCTGAGCCTGAGCTGGAGCTTTCCACCCCTGCACACATGGAGCTGATGCTGGCTGCTGCTCTGAGCACGGCTCAGCACGTGTACAATGAGCGGGGTGGTGCAGCTGCCCCTGCCCCAGCTCTGTCCCTCCTGGGCCATCGCTGAGGTCTTTGCAAAGGCGACGACTGATGGCTCTCCAGGGTCTGGTGTCAATCATGATTAGTTATTTACTACTTAATTGTTTTCGAAGGGTTTGGTGCCAGGGTTGTGCTCTTCAATATGGCCCCACCGCAGTGCATGGAGGAGAAAGCAAACAGGAGCGGCCTTTTCGACATGGACACTGATGGTTTCGGTGCACATGGCCCTCCCCAGAGACTCGGGGCTGCTTCCCAAAGGGCTGAGCCAGCTCTGGAGGCTCCCTCCAGCTGTGGAAGGGGAAGCTGGAGGAGGGAAGCACCAGCTGTGAGATGTGGATGCTCCTGGAAGTGAGGGCTGCCAGCAGCAGTAGTGCCCATGGGAGGAGAGCCAGGGCTGTGCTCACCCCAGGGCTCTACCCAAGGAAGCTCCCCAGCCCCAGGAGCAATGGCTCCTTCCCTCGCCCCGCACACTGAAGCCAGCCCTGTCCTGCACAGAGGAGGACACGGCTGCCGCATTGGGCAGATGTACCAGCTGGGGCTGCTCAAACATGATCCGAAGTGACAGAGCAGGGAAAAAGCGCCTGGCTGAAGGGATGCGTGGCTATTTATTGTCGCCCTCGGAGCGGGGCAGGGACAAGGCAGCTGGGGGCGAGGACAGCCGTCTTCTCAGAGCAGAGTGCCAGCAGTCGTAGGTTGCCTTCACCCATCTTCAGCATCCCAAGCCGGTGCTTGTCTTCTCTTGTATGTTGCAGTGCGTGGGTACACGACAGCTTGGAGCCAGAACAGCCCCCTTGGCGCAGAGCAGATGCTGTGCAGGCAGGGGAGGGCCTGGCAGGATCGGTGCCCTCAGCTCTCCGAGGAACCTGTGGTGGGTGCAACTGATGCAGCTTCAGCCCTGACACCACGCTCTGTGCCTTGCTGTGGACTGTGTCTGAGCTGCCTTAGAGCACTGGCACCACACTGGGTTTTTGAGCAAATTTGACTTTTTTTGAGGTAGAGACCTGGAGAAGCCTTGCCTGGGACCAGGAGCTCTCAGGCTTCACACAGGGAGAGAGAGGAGTCATTGCTGTGCCATGTCCTGGAGGATGGGTGCCCAGCCACAGTCTCAGTGAAGATGCATCGGGCTGCACATCCCAACCATTCTCTTCACATCCCATCCCCAACCCCAAAAGCCCACAGTGGTCCTCACATGCTCTCCCCTTGGCTGACCCCAGTGTGCCCCAGCTGTGGTGACGTCCCCTTCTGCTCAGCCCTGCCCCAGTGTGCAGTGGGACCTGCTGCTACTGAGCCTGCCTTTGCCATGGATGGGACTCATCCCACTGGCTCCAGGGCCCTGCTGCCTTCCAGCCCCTTCCTGGAGGCTCTCCCCTGACTTGTCTGGCCAGGGGCATCCCTGTGAGCACCTCCCCAGGAGCCTGCTGAACACCTCTTGAAACTTAGAGGAAATGCATTCTCCACGTTGAGGTGCTCCCTATGTGTCTGCACAGGCTGTGCTCCTTCTGCCCTCCAGGTGGTGTCACCATGCTGGACTGGGGCACAAACAACAGGGATGCTGCAGGGTGGCTGGGCAGCACCCACACCGTCCTCACTGCTCCCCACCCTGGTCCAGGTACCCCAGCCATTTAGGGAGGCTGGAGATGTGTCTTGCATTGATTCCATGAGCAGGACCAGGCAGCCAAGGTGCTGAGCACCCAGATCCCCTACACCTTTGGTTGGGCTATTCCTGCTCTCTTCCCAAGTGGAGAGGTAGGACGATGAAGATGGAGAGGGGAGGAAGGAGGTGGCAAAGGCAGCACCAGCCAGCAGGGGGATGGAAGGTTGGCCGACGTTTGCTGCTGTTGTCATAATTAACAATGTGAATCTGTGATGTCATAATTAAAAATGATTAATGTTTTATAGGAGGGCTTTGTCTCCCAGCTGGTTGCTCCGGCAACAGCACTCAGCTGCCGGTCTCAATTTGACACTCTTGTCTCATTGTCGACTCCCTAATTGCGTTGTCGACCGAGCTAATGAGATTGTGACACAGGGAGGGGTGGTGGGCTTGGCCTGGGGGGGCTCCCAGTCCCTGGGCACCCACCTCCTGCTCATAGACACCCTGTGCTATTCCATGCCAGCACCTTTGCCAATGACCGCAAGCAAATCAGGGATCATCTTCATTCTTCCATCCCGAAGGGCAGTTTGGCTCACCACAGGAAGTCAGAGGACATGGAGTTGGGGCAAGAAAGAAGGGCACACACTGCAGCACCCATGGCAGGAAGCAGGGAGGGATGTGGTCACCTCCACCCAGCCCCGTCCCCCTGCACAACGCTGTCCGCCTCTGGGGAGCCAGGGGGTCAGCCCTGGCACGTGGCACAAGCGAGGCCACCAGCATCCCGTTGCTTGCCTGGCCAGGTCACGAGGGTTACAGGTGGTCCCAAATGGTGCTTTGCTGCACTCTCCAGGCTTTGGTGGCTTCAGAGACACGCTGACGTGGCACCCAGCCTCCTGTTGCAGCACTCACACCCTGCCCTTCTCTCTCCATCCCAGGGGCTGACACCATGAGCGAGGCCAGCTCCATCAGCATCGAGGCCACGACCGACAGCAGGGACACCTCGGTGGCCACCTCTGTCCTGCTGCCCTTCCCCACCAGTCGTGGCCGGGAGGAGGCTGACAACCGCAGCGAGCACAGCTACAGCGAGTCTGGAGCCAGCGGCTCCTCCTTCGAGGAGCTGGACCTGGAAGCTGCTGCGGATGGGGAGGGCACCGCGGGGCTGCTGCTCACCTCGGGCTATGGGGAATCCCAGGAGCTCACAGACAAGTGGACCAAGGAGCCCATCGCTGCTGAGCGAGGAGAAGAGTAGAGCCGGACCTGGGCCCCGGCTTCGTGCGCCTCTCCTGTCTCCTTCTTTGGCACCACGACATTCCAGGCACTGATCCCTCCTGGGGCTGCTGCCCTTGCAGGAAGGGGAATGCAGACGGGGCTGCTTGGGTGCAGGCAGTGACATACGTGCACCCCCTGGGTGCATTTCCAGGGGGAAGTGTGGGTCTCCCCTTCTCTGCTGGTGCCCCTTTCACCCGCAGCATCTCTCTGCCAACACGGACGTGTGTTCTCTAGCACCAAAGAGCCATGAGTAGGGTTGGTTTGTTTTGTTCCCCTCTTCTCTTTCCCTTTGCTGCAAATGAAAACATCCAGTGTCAAGCTGTCCTGGACCTGCCACAGGCGTTTCCAGGGTCTGTAATAAAGTGGATGCTTTTCCTCCATGCTGCCTGCTGCCTTTCCTGACCGCCAGCCTGCTGTCCTTGCTGAGCAGGGGACTGCCCCTAGCTATCCTACACCTTAGCAGCCCTACTCATCACCCACAGTCCCCACCACAGCAGCTGTGGGGACCGTCCCCTGCTGCTGCCAGCTTCACCCCAAGCATTCACTGTGGGGAGGAAGGACTGGAGCACTGCACCTCCTCCTGACCCCACTGCCACCTCACCCTGTAATGTTCAGTGCTGGAACACGAGGGACAGCCAGACCCCCTACCCCAGTGTCTCTGGTGCCCCTGGCAGCCCAAGGCTTGTTCCCAGTGTGCAGCCCAGCACCGGGGCCAGCAGCAAGGGGCAGGGGGTCTGGCTGTCCCTCGTGGGGAGATGTACCCTCTCTGGCTTGGAAAGGTCTCGGTTAGTCTTCATCCAGTGATTGACAGGAGATTATTTATAAATATTTTGTGCTCTAAGTGATGAAATATTAAACTCCTCCAGCCCACATGGTAAAATATTGCTCTTCCCGGTGTTTATCTTTATTGCTGGTTATTACAAAACAGCCAAGCCCCCTGAAATATTCATGCCCAGCTGAGTCTGTGAGTACTGGAGGCAGACAGCAGCTCCTAACCCCGCTTGTCCCCTAACCCCATGGAAAATGGAAGGTGGGGGATCTTTGCTGTTGTTCTTCTGCTGCCAGAAATGCTGGAGCAGCAGCAGCCAGGATGCTTCCTGGTGGGATGTAGTTGCTACTGGGTGCCTCGTGCCGGGCTGGGAAGTGGGGTTTTGGCTGTGCTGGTCCCACTCTGCTCTCCCCCCAACAAAGGCATCTGCTGCTGCCAGAGCCCCGCTCCATCATCCAGTGCTGGTGCTCCAAACTGGTGCTGCATGAGAGCCGAGGTTGGGGCTTTGTTGTGGATGTCCTGGGTTGTATCTCCACATCTGGCTTGTGCCCCAAAACCCGTGTTATGCCCACAGGACTGCTGGGAGTTGGGGCCAGTCAAGCTGCCGGCACAACATTAGAGGGGGTTGGAGGGGGGGGCGGGAATGCATGCAGCAAAGTGGGATGCTGGGCGGCCGAAGGGCTACCAGAAAAATTTGGGCAAACAGTGGAGCCCGTCGAGGTCTCGAAACCGTAACTGCAGCCCGAGCTGCTCCCCTGGAAGCTCTGCACTGCGAATTGGAGGGGGGCATTCGGGGAGCATCACCCAGGGTTTGGCGCTTAGGTGCCGGGCGTGGGCAGCGGGGCTGCAGTCGGGGCTGGGACCCCCGTGCTCTGCGGTGGCGGCTGGGGGCGCGGGGGCCGAGCCGCTCTCCGGAAGGTGTCTCGCTGCGTCCGCGGTGCCGCCCGCCCTGCCCGTGTCCCGACCGCTGCCCCGCGGGGTGCCGCTGCCCGGGGCCGGGCCGGGGCGGGGGCCGGGGGCGGAGCGGCTCCGCCGGGCTGGAGCTGGCGGAGTGTCAGAGGCGGCGGCGGGAGGCGGGCGGCAGCAGCATCTCCGAAGAAGCAGCGGCATCGGCACCGGCTCCCGGCGCAGCCCCGCCGGGCCCAGGTAAGGGCTGCGGATCCCGCGTCTCCGCCGTACTCGTTGCCGTGGTCTCCGGCCGCCCGAGCGGCTGTGCCCGGAGAACGGGGCTCGGCCGCTCCGGGAGCCGTCGGGTCCGCGGCACCGCTGTCAGTGGCGGGAGTGGCGGGCCGGAGGGAGAACAGCGGAGGCGGGGGGCCGGCACCGTGCCGGGGGCCGCGGGTTCACCGGGAGCTTCGCCGCGAGCCCCAGAGAAGACGCCGAGGCCACCGGCCCGTCCGGCTGCGGCTCCGGGTGCGCGGCGCCGGGGCGCGGAGGTGACAGCGCGGCAGATGCGGGGACAGCCCCCGCCTGCCCTTCGCTCGCTGTTCCGGGGACTGCCGGTCCCTGGGGTGCTTCAGGCCGGCTGGGTGCACGGCTGACCCCGCATCCTCCCCGAGCGCACGGGTGATGCGGCGGGGCAGGGGCACCCTGACGTTCTGCCGGCCGCTCTTCTTTGCGTCCTCCCCTTCTGCTCCCGCCGGCTGGACCAGTGGCTGCAATGTACGGATCGACCTAAAGAGAGGAGGTTTTGGAGGCGCTTCCAGGTGTCACCCTGCTCCCGGCGTTGTGCACACGTGTGTGTGGCCACACGGCATGCGTGCGCTGCAACGTGCCGCTTTGTGCACACGTGTGGACCTGTGCAGGGCATGGCCCGTTACCTGCATGCTGCAGGCATGAGCACACACGGTACCCCTGCATGGGTGTGCCTGCAGAGTGCATGGCCTTGGTGTGCTTGCCCATGCACCTTGCACGGGTGCGCACCTGCATGCACGGTGCTGAGCCCAGGGCAGGGTCCTGGCTGCAAAGCTTCGTGATCACAGCTGGCCGTGCATCCCCTCCTGAAAGCAGGGCAGCAACCAGGGTCCTCCCTGCGTTTCTGCAGGTGTCAGGGTGCTCTGGGGAGCACGGGACCAACTGTGTGATGTAAACATCCCTGATTGCTGATGCTTTCAGGTAGAGGGAGGCTGCAAGCAGATGGGAGCTGGCAGAGCCTTCCCAATGCACCGTGGCCACTGGGACAGCTGTGGCTCTGCCCAGTCGGGTGCTTCGCACCCCAGATATTCTCCAGTTATTCCCAGGGCCAGTCTCCCCCGAGCACCGTGTCAGCCCAGTGAGCGGCTCCAGGGATGGCTGCAGCCATCTTTGCCTCCCTAATGGAGCTGATGATTTCGGGAGCGCCCTTTGGGAGAGCTGAAGATGCCCTTCCTCTGATGGGTCCCACCTGGAGCACCCCGTGAGCTGCGGCCACCTGGGGCTGGGGCTGTCAGGCTGAGGGGGTCCCCTCCTTTCACAGCCCCTGAAGCCCTGGCCCTGTGGGATTCCAGAAGCTGACTTTAAATGGGAAACAAATCCCTCTCATGGTGTGGGAAAAGATAACTCATTTCTGAGGGGACCTCATTTACTGCCAAAAAAAGGCCTGTCTGTTGCAAAAGCCTTTGATTCCCCAGCTCCTCCGTGGTTTGTGCAGAGGAAGCCAGCAAACCTGGCTCTTACTTCTACTGAAATCTCTGAATTTAGTGTACGAGGAAGGAAGGGGCGGTGGTGAGAGAACAGCCTCTAGAGCACTGCGGGATGGAGCTGGCACCCAGTGGGGAACGGGCTCAGGGGCTGGACAGGGTGGGAGCATGGCTGTGCCCCTTGCGTTGGGATGGAGCAGCTGGCTCTGGCCGAGCAGGTGGCACTGGGGTCAGGGGGCTCTGATCTGGTATCGAGTCTGCCTCAGTCCCTGCTCTGGGTGATGTCCCAGCCCCTGGGTGACATCCCTGGCTCTTTTCCCAGTGCTTAACCAACCCAAAAAGCTATCCACCACTAAGCTGCATTGCCTGGAACTGCTGCAGCACTGACTGCCTGCCTCTCCGCACGTGCCAGCTCATCCCGGGGAGCTGGGCAGCCAGGGTGGCCCTGCGTGTCTGTCCACATCTGTGTCACTTGCTACATCCTGCAGATCCTGGGTTGCTGCTGGAGCTGTCACATGTGCTCAGCTCTTGCTGAGGGTATCCTTCCTGGGGGGGACACGGGCTGGTGGGGCACAAAACACCTGCATGCTGCCCTGGCTCAGCCACCTTGAGCATCTCCTCACAGCTCTCAGATGGACAGCCCCAGCTCATCCCATGACCTGCCGACCCAGTACCTCTTCCCTTTGCTTTTCCAGGTGCTGAAGGCTCCAGTAGGGCGGCAGACCCCCTGCCACCACCACGCTGCTCCGTCCTCGATGCCGGGGCCCTGGCTGCCCTCACCTTAACGGGCAGTGCTGGGTGACATGGGGCGTGCGGATCCCCAGCCAGCACCAGCACACCCCATGGCGGTCCCCATTGCTGCCTGGCTCTGGCTGATGCACCTGGCCTCCTGCCTGGCTGCTGGGCACGGCTCCAGCCACAGCAAGAAGGAGATCAGCACTGAAGGGGACCTGGTCATCGGGGGGCTCTTCCCCATCCATGAGAAAGGAGTGGGGAGCGAAGACTGTGGCAAAATCAATGAGCACCGGGGCATCCAGCGCCTCGAGGCCATGCTCTTTGCACTGGATGAGATCAACAAGGACCCAAGCATCCTGCCGGGGGTGAGACTGGGTGCCCACATCCTGGACACCTGCTCCAAGGACACCTATGCTCTTGAGCAGTCGCTCGACTTCGTCCGCGCATCCCTGACCAGAGTGGACGGCTCCGAGCACATCTGCCCCGATGGCTCCTATGCTGTCCATGATGACGTGCCCACAGCCATCACTGGTGTCATCGGGGGTTCCTACAGCGATGTTTCCATCCAGGTACCCCTTGCAAGATAAGAGCCTGGGCTGTGGGCAGAAGTGGCAGAGGGCATTTACTGGCTGTAGGGCTGCCAAACCTCAGCCCTCACCGGGGGGGAACCTCCTGGAGGTGGGGAGCACGGAGCCCATCCTCTTCCTCGGCCCTACTTCTTTGCCAGGCTGTGTGTCAGGGAGCTCAGCATCTGCTAAAGGAAAGTAACCAGTCGAGGCTGCTTGGGGCTAGATGGGTGCATGCCAGCTGCCAGCCCTATGCCGTGGGATACTGTCCCATCCCCAGCATCAGCAGGGGGCATTAGCCCCTCAGATGGAGCCATTTGTTTGCTGCTGTGGCCCCACTGGCCACAAACAGAGGGGTCAGCACCCACGCAAGGTGGCCATCCCTCCGTGGGGATGGTGCTTTATTCACTCTGGGTTCCACAGTCACCCGGAATACCCAGGACAATGTCAATGTGCAGATCCACATCCTTGGTGCAGTTTCCAGCCCGGCGCTGCACGTACTCCCGCCAGCAGGTCTGGATGGTGCGGGCGGCCTCCTGGCAGCGTTTGTACTCCGTCCGCATCACCCACGCCCGGACCTGAGCCTGCAGCAGGACAATGGCTCGCTCCAGCTTGATGTACTCTGCCAGCACCCACAGGCGCTGCTGCTCCCTCCGCTGGCTGCCCACCCGTCGCCACCAGCCCTGGATGCGCTGTGCGCTGCTGGCCGCCACCAGCAGTGCCCTCCGCACCAGCTGTCCTCTCCACCACGCCTGGATGGCCATGGCCGCGGCCGTGTCGGGCTCCATCTGTGGGGACAGAGCACGGGTGGCCTCAGTGGGCTGGGAGAGGATTTAGGGACTGGCTATTCCCAGGGAGCTCACCTGCGTTTCCATGGGTCCCAGGTGCGTGGTTGGGTACAGAATGTCCACGGGGGGCAGCGACACCTCCTGATGTCAGAATGGCCTTGAAAACCCCACATGGGACAGGAGGAACGTGGTCCCGGGCCGCCCAGTGCGACAGAGTCACCAGACGGTGACAGCCCCACATCCCCCAATGTCCCCACGGCATCACTGCCCTCTGGGACTTCTGTGCCATTAGGGTGATTTGCAGCTAAAAACATTTGTCCACGTTAATTAAGCTGCATCTCCTGCATAGGAAGCAGAGCTGCGTGCGGCCTGCGAGAGCCGTGTTTTCTAACAGCCTCATTAGCAGGGCTCTCTCCTTTTTGAAGATAACGAGGGGAAAGAGCAGCCACAGCAGTCAATTGCAGTGCCTGGCCCACGGGGCTCAGTGGGACAGTGCTCACTGCGTCCCCCCAGCCCTGCGGGCACCAGTTTTGTCCTCGCGGATGAGCATCGCTCCGTTTGCCTGCGGTGGAGTATCGGTGTTTGCCATGAATCTATTTACTCCCAACCTTAATCTCAGAGGGGGGAGTATAAAATATTAATAAAAATAATAATGAAAAAAAAAAAAGAAAGGAGTGGAGGCTGCAAGGAGTAGGAACACACTGGGATTGCAGAGTGAGAAACCTCTGTGAATACATGACCCCAAGGCCCTGTGCCAGGCATCAAGGGCTGGATGTGGCCAGGTTTTCCAGTGCTACAGCCCTTGGTGGTCATGGACATACAGGGACCTCCCCATCACCTCTTCCATCCTGCCCTCAGAAGGATGCCCAGGGAACATCATTACACCCCGGCTCTGGGACAACCACAGTTCCAACACAGGACTGAGGGCTTGGACGACCTGTGTCCATCAGATTGCAGGGCACTGGGTTCCCCCAGCCTCCAGACGGGGGTTGCCCGTTAGTCAGCCACCCACCGTGCCTAGGAGTGGATGCTCTCAGGGGATGCCTCTCATGGGGTCATGTCTGGCTGTGCTCACCTCTCCCCCCCATGCAGGTCGCCAACCTGCTGCGGCTCTTCCAGATCCCGCAGATCAGCTACGCCTCCACCAGTGCCAAACTCAGCGACAAGTCTCGCTATGACTACTTCGCCCGCACCGTCCCGCCTGACTTCTACCAAGCCAAAGCCATGTCGGAGATCCTCCGCTTTTTCAACTGGACCTACGTCTCCACGGTGGCCTCAGAGGGCGACTACGGCGAGACGGGCATTGAAGCTTTTGAGCAAGAAGCCCGCATGCGCAACATCTGCATCGCCACCTCGGAGAAGGTGGGACGCTCCATGAACAAGAAGACCTACGACGGCGCGGTGCGGGCGCTGCTGCAGAAGCCCAATGCCAAGGTGGTCGTGCTCTTCACACGCAGTGAGGACGCCCGGGAGCTGCTGGCAGCCGCCCACAGAGCCAATGTCTCCTTCATATGGGTGGCCAGCGATGGGTGGGGAGCCCTGGAGAGCGTGGTGGCGGGGAGCGAGGCGGTGGCAGAGGGAGCCATCACCATCGAGCTGGCAGCGTACCCCATCCAGGAGTTCGCCGCATACTTCCTCAACCTCCATCCCTACAATAACAGCCGAAATCCCTGGTTTCGGGAGTTTTGGGAGCAAAAGTTCAAGTGCAGCCTTCACATGCAGGACTGCAGCCGGCACTCCCTAAAGACGGGAAAGTTTGAGCCAGAGTCCAAGATCACCTTTGTGGTCAATGCGGTCTACGCCATGGCTCACTCGCTTCACAACATGCACCGGGCGCTGTGCCCCAACACCACCAAGCTCTGCGACTCCATGAAGCCTGTCAATGGCAAGAGGTTCTACAAGGACTTCATGCTCAATGTTAATTTTGATGGTGAGTCCAGAGGTGGAGATGGGGCTTGGCTGCACAGCCGAATGGGTGGAGGGGCAGGGAGGATCAAGGAGGTCACACTCTCACTCTAATGTTCCACCTCCTCCTTGAGGTTTCGGTCTCTACTTGGAGACTTCAGACACTTGCTCTGTGATTGATTAAGTCACCTCTCAGGGACTAAGCTGGAGGGAGAGCCTCAATCAGGAGCCCACAGCTCTGGGGTCAGTCAGAACCGTCATCCCCTCTGGGCTGAGCCCTATGTACCATTCAGAGCCATGGAGGTTTGGGGGGCAGTGATACTGCACGGCTATGCAGACCCCCCTGCTTTGCCCTGCAGCATGGCTAGAGGCTGCCAACCACGGTGAGAGCATTATGCACCACTACTCTCACAATCCCAAATAATAATGCTGCATTCTAGGCATGAGGGGCAAGGGGACAGGTTGGAAATAGCCTCTTGGCCATGGTGGGCTGTGTCTCCTCGGTGCATCCCTGTGGGAGCGAGTGTGATCCCACACCATGGGCCAGCTGTCCAGGCAGTGACCATCTCCATTTCTCATCTCTCCAGCTCCATTCAGGCCAGCAGACACTGAGAGCGTTGTTCGATTTGACCGCTACGGTGACGGGATTGGGCGCTACAATATCTTCAACTATCACCGCATGGATGGGCGGTACCGGTACCAGAAGGTGGGCTACTGGGCCGAGGGGCTCATCCTCAACACCAGCCTCATCCCCTGGGCAGAGGTGTCCATCCCAGTGTCCCAGTGCAGTGATCCATGCAAGAAGAACGAGATCAAAAGCATGCAACCAGGAGACATCTGCTGCTGGATCTGCATCCCCTGCCAGCCCTACGAGTTCCTGCTGGATGAGTTCACCTGCATGGACTGTGGTTTGGGTTACTGGCCCAATGAGACCCTGAATGGCTGCTACGAGTTGCCCCAGGAGTACATCCGTTGGAAAGATGTCTGGGCCATCGGTCCCGTCACCATCTCTTGCTTGGGATTTATCTCCACTCTCTTTGTTTTTGGTGTCTTCATGAAGAACAATGACACTCCCATTGTGAAGGCCTCTGGACGGGAGCTCTGTTACATTCTCTTGACCGGGGTCCTCATGTGCTACAGCATGACCTTCATCTTCATTGCAAAGCCTTCCACCGAGGTGTGCACGCTCCGGCGCCTGGGGCTGGGCACATCTTTTGCTGTCTGCTATTCGGCCCTCTTGACCAAGACAAATCGCATCGCCAGGATCTTCAGCGGGGTGAAGGAGGGGGTCCAGCGCCCTCGCTTCATCAGCCCCACATCACAGGTGGTCATCTGCATGGCCCTCATCTCCTGCCAGCTGATCATCGTCATCATCTGGCTCCTGGTGGAGACCCCTGGTACAGGCAAGGAGACCGAGCCTGACAAGAGGTACATTGTCACCCTCAAGTGCAACAACCGTGACTCCAACATGCTCATTTCGCTCACCTACAACGTCCTCTTGATTGTCCTGTGCACGGTCTACGCCTTCAAGACACGGAAATGCCCTGAAAACTTCAATGAGGCCAAGTTCATTGGCTTCACCATGTACACGACCTGCATCATCTGGCTGGCCTTCCTGCCCATCTTTTATGTGACCTCCAGCGACTACCGAGTAAGAGCCTGAGTTCTGGGGATACTCATGGGGCCCAACCAGAGCAGCCCGCATGACCGGGGCAGCACAGGTCTGGGAGGGTCTGGGGAAGGGCTGATGAGGGCCCCATCCACGCTCTTGCCTGGGTGTGTGATGCTACCACACCCGTGACGCTCACCCCTCTGCCTCCAGGTGCAGACCACCACCATGTGCATCTCAGTGAGCCTCAGCGGCACGGTGGTCCTCGGCTGCCTCTTCACTCCCAAGCTCCACATCATCCTCTTCCAGCCACAGAAGAATGTGGCCAGCCACCGCGTGGGCACGGCGCGCTTCAGCATGGCGGCCGCTGGCTCCAGCCAGTCCCACGGTGAGTGCGGCTGGGCTGGGGAGGGACAGGGGGACAGCTGGGAGGGGGACCTGCGGAGCAGGAGGTAGGGGTGCTGCAGCACCCAAGGGATCGGCTGCTGTATCCCAAGTCCTCCACCCCAGAGCTGCTCCTGGGGGTCCGTCACTGCACTGGGATACCCCAGGTGGGGGCTGCTGCTGGATCCCCCCTCTCATAATTGGTGCCTTTCCCCACCAGGCTCGGCCTCACAGTACGTGCCCACAGTGTGCAATGGCCGCGAGGCGGTAGACTCCACGATGTCGTCCTTGTGAAGGCTGGGGGGAGGCCATGCCCCAGCCCATCCCTTCACAGGGAGCAGCAGCCCCAGCGTAGGGGCTGGAGGAGCAGGAAGGTGGCCCCCAGCCCAGCCTCAGCATCACAGCACTCATCCCTCGTGCCCATCAGTGGTGCGCAGCCCCATTCCCAGCTCCCTTGCACTGAGCTGCACTGTCCATCACGCTTTGCTAGCCCTGAGCCATGGCCCACCATACCCCTCCTCCACGCAGAGCACGCTGCCCTCACTCACCCCACTTTCTCTCCAATGTCACAACCCCCTCGGATGAGCCAGGAACCACACCAGCCTCCCCAGCACACCCAGACCCCCACACCTGTACCGGTGGCACTTTCTCTTTTCCTCTTCATTTTTACTCCTGGGTTTGCAGGCTCCCAGCCACGGCCCTGTCCCTGAGGAGCTCTGCATGCTCCCATCCCATGGTGGCAGAGGGACAGGGGCCTCCCCAGACACCTGCTCCATGCCTTGGGGCACTGCAGAACCCAGCAGCACCTGGAGAGGGCCTCAGAGGACTGTTGAGTGATGGGGCCCCAGGGGGCTGAGCCCTTTTTAAGAGTAGATTTTTTCTGTGCCCAAGATTCCTTTTTTTTTTTTTTTTTTTTTGTAATTTATGTAAATAAAGTGTTCTTTTGTTGGTTGTGGTTTTTTTCTTTTTTCCTTTTCTTTTTTTAAATGCGTTCTGCCTTTCCCCAGGGCTGGCTGAGCCTCAGAAGGACCCCATGTGTGCCCAGGACAAAGGTGGGGGCCTGGCTGCACTTCTGTGTGCTTTCCTAGCCTCATGATGTCACTGTGCCTGATGCCGTGCGCTGCTCCTTGGTGAGCTGGATGCAGCCAGTATGGGCCCTGCAAGAACTGACAATGAGCAGTAGCTGTGAGCACACTGCAGGGTCCTGTGCAGGATGCAAAACCCCAGGCACAAAAGGCACACAGGTGGCCCCCGGGTACTTACAACCTCCTGGGATGGGATTTGCCTCCCATCTTCCTTCCTGCATCAAAGGTTTGTGACAACATGGGAATATGGCCAAGCACCACTGGTGACAGCGTGTGGCTCTGCGTGGCACCGGTCCTGTCAACATAGCAAGTATCTGTGGCCTGAGGGGGTGGTGATGCAGAGAACCCCGGGGAGACTCTCCTGCCTCAAAAAGTGCAACTGAGCCATGCATAAAGCCCAGAGCGATGCACCCTGCCCAGCTCCTGGCTAATCAATCACAGCATGGTTGTGTCCTAAGGGACCTCCCAGCCCCCAGCCCCACTCCTGCCATGGTCTGACTGTCCCCCAGCTCGGGCTGCCCAGGGCCCCTCCATGTCCTGGGGCACTTCCAAGGTTGGCACCCACAGCTCTGCCAGCACCTCACAGCCCTCTGAGTGAAGAATTTAGCCCTAGCATCTCACCCAAATCTCCCCTTTCAGTTTAAAATCGTTACCCTTTGTCCTATCAGACCTTGTAAAAAGTCGCTCACCCCGACGTTCCAGGTGCAGAACCCTCCTCCTCCTCTCTGGGCACGAGCCGCAGGGTCCCCCAGCCCCGCCGGAGCGCAGCGGTGCGCGGTGCGCCGCCGAGCCGCCGGAGGGCGCCGGGTTCCGTCCCGCGGGGTCAGCGCCGCCCGAACCGCCACCACCTGGTCCGCACCGTCGTGCTCTCGTGCCTCCCAACGAGCTCTGCGGTCATATATTCAGCGACCCCGGCTGCTCCCTGTGTGCAGCATGGAGGGCCGGGCACAGGGGAAGCTCAGTCTCGTGGCTCACCGATGAACCTCACGGCCTCCCGCCGCAGGGGCTCCTGCGGGCTCTGTAGGTAGAGCAGGCTCTGGCCCAGGTAGTCCTGTGCTGCGCTCTTCCTCCTCTCCACCAGCTGGAGAGAAAAGGGCACGGAGTCAGCGCGGAGCAGAACTGAGCCCGTCCTGGGCTGTGGGAATGCGCGTACCAGGCACTCGCCGATCTGCCAGAACTGCGCCACCTCTGCCAGGCGCTGCAGCCGCCTCCAGCGCAGGAACCGCGTGGCACCAAGGAAGGCTTTCTGGGAGGCCTGCCAAACGGCTGAGATGCCACTGCAGTCCGAGCAGAGGCAGAGCCCGCGATCCTCGCAGCCCCTCCGCAGGGGGGATGCGGCTGCAGGGCTGACGCTGCCGTGGGCTGCAGCACCCCTGTGTTTGGGGGGCACCGCAGGGGCGGCGCCGCCCTCCCCCAGATGAACACACTTCCCACCTTGGCCACGCTCTCTTCCTCGTCGTGCAGGTGCAGATACAGCGGGACCAGGCTCCTGTACACCTCCTTCCGCATCTTCCTCTTCTCTCTGCCCTCCACAAAGCTCAGCGTGTCGAGGAAGAGGTGCATGGAGAGCTGGCGCACCGTGCCGGACTCCTGCGAGGAGGAAGGAAGGAAGGATGTAAATGTCAGCTCCAAGTCTACTGTGAGCAGGGCCAGCACCGCCAGCGTGGGGACACTGGGGTCACGGCCACATCCCTAGCAAGCTGGGCTCCCTGCTCCCCTTACGTCCTCAAAAAGCGCTGGGAGATTGGCGGCCAGCTCCAGAGCCACGAGGCTGAGCTTCCCCCTCTCCAGGAGCCGCAGCAGGGTGCTGAGCACTGGCAGGGCCACGGCGCGGGCGCCGCTGTCTGCATCCTGCAGCTGCTCCATGATGCACGGCAGCAGGCCGAGCATTTTCCTCGCCTGCGGGAAAAACAGCCCAACAGAGACCATTGCTGGGGCAGAACGGCTCCAGCTGCAGCCTCCCTACTGGCTTGTCATCGTGGCACGGTGCCGGCAGGCAGGGCCGTCCCACACAGCCCCGGGGCAGCAGGCAGCTGATGGGCAGAGCTGCTCCTGCTCACCGCGTCCGGCCTCTTGCTGAGCTCCAGGATGCTCCTGAGCACCAGCTGCTGCGTGCCCACGCTCTGGCTCTGCAGACAGGTGTTGAAGAGGCTCACGACGCGGTGCAGCTCTTCACTGGGGTCCACGCCCTCCAGCATCTGCAACACACGCGGCTCTTAGTGCTGAGTCCTACCACCAGCTCGGGGCAAGGACAGCAGGGCACGGCCAGGCCTGGCCCCGAGGGAGGCAGCAGGGTTGCTGTGGAGGTCCCGCAGCCCCACGTTCACTGCTTCTGCAGCTGCTGCTCACCTCAACGAGGAAGACCATGGCCACCATCTCCCAGGAGCACAGCTTGGTGCTAAGCAGCTCAACCAGCTGATGGAAGATGGGGTCACGCAGAGCACCAGGCAGTTCCCTCATCACCCTGGCAGGGATGAGAAGGCACCATCAGCCCTGAGCCGGGCGGGCACAGCTCTCCTGGCCGTGCTCTGCTGCCACAGTGCCCCAGGGGCCACAGGCTGTGTGCTGTGGCAGCACTTTGTCTGAGAGCTGGGGACTCCCCATGACACCACAAGGAAGGGCTCTCACCTGGCCACCACCTGCACGCCCTGGAGGTGGGTGACAGTGCTGAGAAGCGCGTCCCAGCCCCCCTGCTCCTGGATGGCCTCCATCTGCCTCTGGAGGCCCACGCTGCAGAGCAGCACCTTCAAGGCCTGCACCGCGGACCTGCAGGTGGAGAAGGGTGCGAGTCGCATCGGGAGCCCCAGCACCGGGTCCTGGGTGCAGCGGGGGGACAGGGATGCGGCACCTGATGGGAGTGAGCTGGTGCTGCCGGTGCTCCTCCCAGAAGATTTCCACCTCCTGCAGTGTCAGCTCCGTGGTGAAGGACACTTGCAGGAGGAGGGCCAGGAAGAGCTGGGGGAAAATAGCCTCGGCCTCCTTCATGACAAGAGGCAGCTGGAGTATCTCAGGGATGGTCCTCGCTGCCTGCTGAAAGCACCCGGACGCTGTCTTTGTCCCATCCCCCAGGTTTCCAGCCCACCTCAAGAGGTGTGGGAATGGAGGGACAAATGGAGAGGGACACCCCCAGAGCACCAGGCAGGTCTAGGAGTGTGTTCCAGTGCCCCAGGGCAGAAACCAGGCTTGGGAGTGGACAGGGAAGGGGAGAAGGGGCTCAGCTGAGCTGGGTGAGTGAGGAACTCACGGCCAGGGCGAGGACACGCGGCCTGTCCCCAGTGGATGCAGACATGTGTCGCAGAGAATGGTTTGTGAGCACTTGGAGCAGCTCCTGCAGCACCTTCTCCACAGCTGAGGGCTCCGAGAGCATTTCCCTCCACATGGTGACGGTGACACTGCGGGTCCCCAGGGCTGTCAGTTTGGCTGCCCCCACCTGGCTGACGGCCGTGGGGCGGGGAGGGGAGAGGAGCCCCGAGGGCCGTGGGCCCCGGACCTGGTGCGGGTGGGGGAGCAGCCCAGCAGGCTGCTAACCATCTCCCTCGGGTGTTTGCCGGCCAGCACGAGCAGGGCTCTGCCCAGGCTTTCGAGAGCCGGCTCAGCTTCGATGGAAGGCAGGCTGCCGTAGATCGTCTTCACAATCTTTCGCACCTGGAGGGGGACACGTGAGAATGGAAAGGACCGGAGCAGGGCTCTGCCGCTGTCCCCTCTGCTGCCTGCTGGCCAAACGCGCCAGGGATTGGGGCAGAGCCCCGAGGGCGGGAGCTGTGGCAGCCGCAGGTTCCCACCTGCCCTGGAGGGAAGCGAGCCTCTGCTGCGAGCACATCCACCATGTGGGCAGCCAGCTCGGTGCTGTGCAGGCTCGGCGCTGTCATGCTCTCAATGGCTGTGAGGAAGATGCTCACCCTTTCAGGGTACTGAAGGTATTTCAGGAATATCTGTGGGAGAAAGGGGAGGAGGGACGACTCATCCCCTGCAGGGCTGCTTGGCTGTGCGGGCGCCTCAGGAGAGCTGGGAGCAGGGGCTGGGCTGGGTGATGCCTGGGGTACAGAGTGTGAGGGCCCCGCGGGCACCAGGGCTGCTCGGGGACAGTGCCTGCGCTCTTCCTGTCACTGCAGGCCTGGGTTCTCCTGTGGGCTCAGGGTTTGCTCTTCTTACCCTGAAGATTTTGCTGGCATTGTTCTCTTGGGAAACCTGTTCGTAGAACAGTGTTTGCCAGCGTTCCCGGAGCTGTGGCTTCTTGGGATCCTTCTTCCACAGCCACATTCCTGGAGAGAAGCGGACACAATGTCAGTGAGGGGCCTGGGCACCTGAGGGCTGGGCCAGGGCCAACCTGGGCACCTGGCCCAACACAACTCCTCTCACTTTGGGAGGCGATGAAAATGAAAAGTTGACGGACAGCCTTCATTGCCTCATCTCTGGTCCCCTCATCAGTGGAGGTGCAGCACAGGATCAGCTGCCCGGCCAGCTTCCCCAGCACAGGGAAGCGTTGGTTCTCTGTGCAGTGATGCCGGAGCACCACAGCTCCCATGAAGCAGGAGCACACCTGGGGAGAGAGGCAGCAGAGATGCACAGCTGAGCAGAGCAGCAGGGCCCAGCCCAGCTCTGTGCAAGCCTGGAGACAGGTGGGCTCCAGCTGGCTAGACGGGATGGGGTGCTGGAGCTGCGTGCTCCCTACCTTGGGCAAGGAGCAGGTGTTGCTGAAGGCGAGCAGCCTGCCAATGCACGCCACGGCCCTCTCCTCCACGGCCGCCAGCTGGCACGTGGTGAAGGGCAGCAGGAGCTGTGGAGAGAAAAGCTGCGGTGTGCCCACAGCACGGGGCGCTCGTCCTTCTTCTCGCTCCCCAGCTGCAGTGGGGGTGGGTGTTTCATCCCTGTCCTGCTGCGGCCCCGCCGCCTTCCCGCCGATCCCCACCCACCCCTCTGACCCCACAAGGGCCGGTCCTGGGCCGGCACCCCTTGCCCGCAGCTGGCCCTGGGGAGATCTCGCGTGGATCCCCCTTTACGGCTTGAACCGTCGCCGCGAATCCCAGCCTTGCCGCAGCCAGACCTCCAAGATGTTCTGCAGCTCCATGAGGACAGAGGTGCCTGCGCTGCCCACCAGCCCCTGCAGCAGGCGGTGCAGGGCTTCCATGGTCTGCAAGGAGGACGGCGGTCAGGGCGGCCGTCCCTGCTGCGTCCTGCTGGCAGCGGAGCGGCATCCCGGCGGTGGTGCCCAGGACGCGTCCCCAGGGCCCAGCCCGTGCGCACCTCCGTGTAGAGCGCAGCGCCCAGGTCCTTCGCGTCCTCGTGGCGAGGGAGGCGCAGGACGCTGCTGAGGCAGGCACGCAGGAGGCCGCTCTTCCGCTCCTCCGGAAGCGGCCACGCGCTGCTGTAAGGGGAGAGAGGGCAAAGGCGCGATGCTCCGCTCGGCACCCTGCGCCCCGCTGCCTGCCCCGCTCAGGGCCCCCGGCCGGGACCGGTGCCACCACGTTGGCCGGCGCTGGGCTGGGCGGTACCTCATGGCGGCGACGGCGCTCATGGCCAGCTGCCGCAGCTCCGTGTCCAGGCGCTCGGCGGGCTCCTCCTGCAGCAGCGCCTGAGGGCACGGTGGGACGGGAAGGGACGGGACGGGACGGCGCGCCCTGCTTGGCAGACGGAGCCCCGGCACCCCATCCCAGCACCCCTCCCAGCTCCTGGGGCTCCCCAGCGACCCCGCGGTGGGAAGGGCTGTGCCCACCGGCCCTGCGGTGCTCCCCTTACCTCAATGCACTGCGCCACCTCCAGAGGGCAGACGCACAGCCGGTAATGGGCACCGCAGTCCTCTGCTTCGCAGACAGCACGGACGGAGGTCAGAAAGCTCAGCTTCTGTGACTCTGTCTGAGACAGGGAGAGGAGTTACAGGTGCTGGCATCAGGGCACCAGCTGGGCACGGCCGAGCAGGGGCAGCCAGGGAAGCACAGAGTGCCCACTACCTGGGGTCTGCGTGTGCAGCAGGCACGGATACAGCTCAGGGGATCCTCCTCCTGTGGTGACATGTCCGAGGCAGAAGGACGCTCACCTGGGCCAAAGGACACCTGCACCTCACACACCTCATCAGAACCACACTGGAGCCTGGAGACCTGCGATACCATAAGCTTCTCTGGCCAGGCCTCTTGGGGGCAGCTGGGGCGTCTCCGTTCCATCCTGCCAAGAGGAGATGGGCAGATGTGGCTCCTGCCCTGTGGCAGGGCAGAGATGTCACCGAGTACCAGCACCACCTCTCTGACCCCCTCCCCCTCTGCTCAGCACCTCTCCTTTTACCATTGGATGGCCCCACAGCCCAGTGGGGTCCTGGTGTGGGCCTGAACACATTTCTGCCTGCACTGGCAGTGCTCCCTATCCTGACTGCTCCCATTCCCACCACCAACCCCTGACCGGAGGCAGCTGCAGCAGCAGCACCCCTGGATGTTGCCTGGCCCTTCCTTCTCACACAGCAACACCCAGAATGGCACAGTCAGAGCTGCTCCTGGCATTGCAATACAAACCAGCTCCGTTCCGTCTGCTGTGTCTGTTGGGCCAGAGCCCCAGTTCCAAGCCCCATCAGCGCTGACCCAGCTGCTCCCAGCATTGTGACTGGTGTTATGTGGCAAGTTGCCTGGACTTTGTGCTTTAAGTTCTCACTGTGCTATTCTCAGATAGCAATAAACTCAATTAATCTTCCCCAAGCTGAGTATATTTTGCCCATGGTGGTGATTGTCGAGTGACCTTTCCATCCTTATCTCAGCCCTTCTCCCATCAGAAGAATGAGTTGGCAATTTTCCTACCCTTTCAACCAGAAATAAGGAGTCTACCAGGAAACAGCACCCAAGAAGGACACAGAAGTTTCACAGGAGGGAAACACAGAATTCTTCTGTTCAAGGTGGTGATCCCTCTGCTCTGTGTATCCCAAGCCACGATCACTGTGCTTAGCCAATTCCCCCAGCCTGGAGAGTCCTGCTCTGCTTTTCTGAGAGCAACACTGCACAGACTGGGCTGTGTGCCTGTTGGTGGCAACAATACACAATGGGGCTCTCCTGCACACCAGGAAAAGCTGTGTTTTGTACTTCAGGGCAGCCCCAAATGGGGAGTACTACGAGCTGGTGAATGAGCTCTTGCCAGGCTTAAAAATCACCCCATGCAGACACCAGCCCAGGACCTCCAGCCTCACCTGACTAGAGACTTCTTCACCTTCTCCATTACTTCCAGTGCTTGGGACCGCAGGACTTTCAGAAATATTTGAGCAGCTGGAGGAAGGGGCAGTTCAGAGGACCCTTTCCACAGGAGAGACGACAGGGTCTTGGATCCCAGTCATCTTGCAATACTCAAGGATGGTCTCCTTGGACACATCTCACCCTTGAGGACACAGCTTTGGTGAAGCCAACTGGCACTCTAAGGGGGAACCGGGTTCTACGGGGATACCGGAGAGACAGGGATCTCGAAGCGGCACCTGGTGGAAGTGGCGGATGGAGGCCGCTTCCTGAGAGAACCGGGATTCAGAAGCAGCGACTCGGCGGACTTGAGTTTACCGAGAGCCAGCGCAGCGGGAGCGGCATTACTGCCCACAAGCCGGGCTGCAGCCAGAGCCGCGGGGCTCTCAGGACCCGAGCGCGTCCGTTTGGAGCGGACCTGATTGAGAACCGCTGCCGCGCAGCCCTCCACAGCGCCGTGCAGACGAGCGGCGCGGGTCGGACCTGATTGAAGCCCGCGATTGACTCGGCCGCGCCCGGTTCCGCCCCATCGAAAAGGAGGCGGGGCGGCAGCCGGGCCGTCAGGGCGAGAGCGGCTGCGGGAGGGGTGAGATGAGGCTGGGGCGGCTCTGGTGAGCGAAGGGCTCCTCTTGGTGTCCGAGTCTCAAGCGTCCGTTTGAAGTCCAAAGCCTTCTTTCTGAGGCTGCTGGCGCCTTGTCTTTACGGCCCGAAGCTCTGTTTGAGGGTCCGTACCCACAGCTGTACAGCCCAAATCTTATTCACTAGAGTTTGCATCTTTAATTTAATGTCAGAAGCCTGATTCCGGCGGGTTTAAAGCTTTATTTCAAAAATCATAACCTTTTTTTTTTCTTCTGTTTGTTGAAAAACACTTTTTTTTTTTTTTTTTTTTTTTCCTTTTGAGGTGAGACTTCTTTAAGCTGAATTTCTCCTTTTTACAGCCCCAAACTACCTTTTAAGCACCCGTTTGGAGTGTTCTAAGCCTTATTCCTGGAGCCCAAAACCTGAATGCTATTCTCTATTCACATGAATGCCAAAATAGTAATTTTTATGGTTGAGATCTACAGCTTTAGACACAGATCTGTGTTTGTTATTACTACTCAAAATCTGAGGGACCAAAGAATCATTTTTGGATGTCTGCCACCCTAATTTTGGAGACTAAACCGGAATCCAGAAGCAGTGAATAACTGAAATTGGGTTTACCGAGAACCGGGGAACCAGAACCGGTGTTAGAAGCGGCAGGGCTCCCAGGACCGGAGCGCGTCCGTTTGGAGCGGACCTGATTGAGAACCGCGGCCGCGCAGCCCTCCGCAGCGCAGAGCAGACGAGCGGCGCGGGTCGGACCTGATTGAAGCCCGCGATTGACTCGGCCGCGCCCGGTTCCGCCATCTACAAAAGGCTCTGGCAGGGGCGGGGCCGTCAGTTGCGAGAGTGGCTGCAGGTTGGCGAGCGTTGCGTTAAGGCCCGTCCTTACGTGCGAAAGCATCGCTTTTATGGGCCCGAACCTCGTTTTGTGGTCAAGGCCTCTGTATTTTTTGGTGGCTACCTCTATATTTGCTTGCTGTGGTTCCAAACCTTCCTCTGAATCCTAAAGTCTGTCTGAACCCTCATTTCTGTACGCCCCCAAGGGTGATAATAGTGCTCCCAGCTCACTTTCGTTGTCCACACTGTCATTTTTATACTGTTTCTGGGTTCTGTAAATAGGATTTGGAACCCTAAGGGTGATAATAGGAACATAACATGGGGATTTGCTGTCCTTAAACTGAGGGTTTGGGCACCAAAGAGGAGTGTTTGCATCCTATAAAGAGAATTCAGGCCTTGGACCTTAGTCTGTGGCTTTGGGCTCTAAACTGAATGGTTTGTACTGTGCATTAGAAAGAAGGGTTTTACTCAGGCCCTTAAAATTAAGCTTTGGGGCTAAAAAAGTGGGTTTAAGCAATAAAAAGATGGGTTTGTAATTCAAATTGAGTCTCAAAGCCTGAATAATGGGTCCTTGAGCCCTAAAAGCTGAAAGCCCTTCTAGAGCTTACTAATATGCTTTAGTCTTGTAAAAAGAGGTCTTAGACCCTGGAGTAGGGTTTGTGCCCTAAAAAGTGATGGTTTGGTCCTCAAATAATGCTTTGGACTTTAAAAATGGGTCTTTGCACCCTTAAACAGGTGGAGTGGGATTGATGGCGGTGACTTAAGCCCTAAAACAGGTTGTTGGGAACCTAAAAAGGAGGCTTTGCACCCTAAATCTCAGACGCCCTGAATGAGACTAAAAAGATCTTGTGCTCTCAAATGAGTGTGGACCCTGACAATAAGGTTTGGCTCTAAATATGAGTATTTAAAATTGAGACTATAGACTATAAAAACTAGACCTTAGACTATAAAAAGATGACTTTGGATCTCAAATGGATCCTCTGAACTCTGAAAATAAGGGTTTGGACCCCCCAAAAGGGACCCTTACACTTACAAAGTGAGACTGTGAGCCTCAAAAATGAGGAGGTGGGGCCGTGTGACCTACAGTTTGAAGCCAAAACTGAGGATTTGTGTCCTGAAAAGAAGGGTTTGGCTCTAAAGTCCAGGCCTTGGCCCTTAGAATGAGGCTGTGGGCTGTAGAGAAAAGGGGCTGTAGAGTCAAATAAGGCTTTGGACTCTAAAAATGAGGCTTTGCAAACACATGTATAAAAAGATTGCTGGGGACGCTTTGCGTCCCAAAAATGAGACCCTCGGATGGAAAAAAAAAATGAGCGTTTATGCCACAAAAAGGTATCGCGCTCTAAAAATGAAGGTCCGGACCCTCAGATCTGGCAGTTTGGAGCCTAAAAGGAAGCTTTGGACGGGCCAGCAAGGCGTTGTCCCGTTCCGTGGAAGTGGCCGAGCAGTCACAAGGTGGCGACTCCGATCCGCGTCTTCATGCTCCGCTCTCCCAATGCTTCCCACGAGCTCGCAGCCCTGCCTCCCCTTCTGTTTTCGCCTCCTGGTCGGGTTGTTCTTGCATGAAATTCCAGCTAACCTTTGATTTCAGGCCCAGTTCAAAAAGCACCGAACTTCTCGCTAGAGTGGGTCTGATTTTAGCAACTAAATGGAAAATTTACCTTCAGTGTCGCAGGGCCCGCTTCTCAAATGTCCTATTAATATTTAAAACGCTGAACACATTGGTCTGTGCAGGGCTGTGCCAACTGGGGGACAGGGTAGAGTTTACACCGCCACAGGGAGACCATGTTTTCCTGTGAAGGCTGAGGCTCTCGGAGACAAGGGATGAGGGGAAGCATTTGCTGCCCATAGAGGAGGCACCAAGAGAAGCGGGGTTGGATGGGGACACAATCTAATGTGGACCCAGCAACTGCAGCCAGGTGTCCAGGGTGCTAACAGCGCTCTCAGAGCGAGATCATCCCATCTCCCCAATCGTAGCATGGGTTTTCTGCAGCTGTTTGATGTCCCATCCCAATGCAGGCAAGAGGGAGGGTTTGAGCAACCAACCCTGCAATGCTTTGGAGTGTAAGAACTCAACCAGATGGATGGGATGGCTGTTCTATCCCTGCCCCTTCCCATCCAGAGAGCACAGCCAAAGCAGACAGCTACAAGCAGACAGAAATCACAGATACAGATCAGTATGGCTGAGATTGCTGTTTGTGCTTCCCTCGTTGCTGCTGCAGAAGGAGGAAGCTCAAGCCAGCTTTCACAGCATGGAGAACACCAAGGTGGGAAGCTCAGCCGATGAGAACAGTGGGCCCAATTTCTTCCATGGGAAGATATTGCTTTTACATCAGCAGAAGACATAAAGCTGCCACATCAGTGATTTTCTCTGCTCCTAATGACTTCATCCTCACAGCTGTGCCAAACCCATTCTGTCATGTCATGTGTTTTTTTTCCCCACCTGCCTTTGTGATTGCATTGCTTCCTTAGGGAGTTAAGAAATATGGCAGAGGGACAAAACCTTTTCCGCAAGCAAATCTCTCACTGCCCCACCTGGAAATTTGTTCAAGCAAACTAGGAGAGATTTGACCTGTGTAGGGAAGAGGGGGAAGGGAGCAGCCCCTGTTGTTATCAGAACCGATCTTTACTGCTGGGTAACAACTAAGCAATGAAGCAAAAGTCACTGGAGTTTAAAGAGGAAGCGGAGTCAAAGGTCACCAGGCTGTCCTAGAAATTTGTTGTCAGAACCTTGAGAACAGGGAGGAAGGTTGTACGAGCTGACTGTAGCAATAACCTGAAGGGCTGGTGGAGCTGAGGGAGGCTGTCATGTAGCTGCAGTGGATGATGAGGGATCAGAGACCTACTGGTGATGAGACATAGCCCACCTTGGAGTGCACTGTCACTCCTTATGTGAAGATGTACAGCACTTCAGTCATCTGAGGGAGCTGGAGGGAAAGGGAAGTCAGAATGTCTGTTTCCAGAACTGGCCTAAAGGAGCAGGAAGGTCCAGGAGTGAGACATCCTGGAGAGCTGGTCCTGGACTGAACCCCACCAGCAGCTTTCTGGCATCTGTGAAGTTGTCCTTAAGCCACTGGAAGGCACCCAAAGCTGCTCCATGAATGCAGTGCAAAACCATCTTTAAAATATCTCCCAGTACAGCTATGGATCTGCACCTCTGGGCACATGGACTCCTTTGGCCCTGAGGTTTCCCCTCTTGCAGCATGAAGGTCTCCATTCCCCACACTACAGGTTAGCCCCAAAGTCCTTGGTTCCAGGGGCGTCGTTTTGTTTAAGTACAGGTTCTTTCTAAGCAAGCAGAGACTGCTGATCTCCCTGACTGAGTGTGTGCAGCTGCCTCCAGTCCTGAACTTTCTCTGCTGTTTCCCACTGGAGTGAGCAGAGTTCGCACTTGATTGAACTCATGACTGTGTCAACCCAGAGGGCATGAAGATCAGGACCGGGCAAAGGTGAGCAGAGTGCACAAGAATGAGGCAGAGACCTTTGGGACAAAGAGTTCCCCACCCGTGGAGCCATCACTGCATGGACCCTGATGCCA